AGCCGCAGCTTTGCGCTGTTGAACTTTAAAATTCTAATTTATAGCTTGGCTGTAGTATAGGTAAATATATATAATATTTACATACATATGTACATATCTGTGTAGATGTATACACCTCTATATAGTTAACAACTGGAAAACCTTGAAATGTGCACGAGTGACTAATTAGACGGGCTGTTGGGAAGCTCATTTCAGGTTCAAATTCCAAGTACAAGCTTCAATATTGTGTTCATTTGATAATGGGAAATTTTGTTGTATAAAAAGGGAAATGCCAAATGAATTATCATAGCATTGATTAACGGAAGATGTCTGAGCTTAACCTTCAGCTTATTTCACACTCGAATTGAGTTGAGCAAAGCTGAAAATTAGTTCGAAGAAATCTAAACTGTTATACTCACATGTATAACTAAATAGATAAATCTAGCCTTCAATTGTTTTTCCTCTGTTCTACTGCTGTATAACACTCAGCTAAGATTTAAATTAAAAATTCTTGTTATACACTGTTATACACTGGGTATAACACAATTATACTTACAGTTATTATAATTTATTGTTAGTTTTTAATGAATTCATACATTTAGGTGAAATTCCTTAATCGTGATAAAAATGTTTTTCGTAGTTAAACAGCATTCCAGCTTTCATTTATTTCATTTTCGTAACAGTCCCGTAAATTACATAAATAATTTCGCTATTTATCACGATTAGGGATTTTCGCATAAACGTAGCTGATGTTTTCTTTTTATATTTTTGTATGACACTTCTTTGTTTTATATTTTATATTTATATTACTTTTTTATATTTTTGAAAATCTTTCCGCTGAACTTTTACCGTTTTGCTTTGTTGGGAATGATTTTATTGACTGACCCCACAGAACAATTGCTAGTTGGGCTGGCTAACTGCCTGGCTGGTTGCCTGGCTAACTGTTCGTTTCGTTCCGTTCCAGCTGTTGGAATATGCGCGTCGTCTAATGCCAGCGAATAATCATTGGCGAATGGTGCGCACAGCCTTTGCCTTTCGCTCAACGACCATCCAGTTTTCAACCGAAAAATGCGTTACATATATACACACATTATACAAACATACATATGTGCTTTTTATATGCAGTTATCGTACATACATAGATACATGCATATATGTATGTACATACATGTTCATATATGTATGCATGTGTGTGATTGTGTGCTGCCGCAGGGGAAGCCAGTGTAGGTCACCCAGAGAGACAAACAGCAACACACAATGCTTTCGTCGTCGCCTTCGTTATTGCTGCCGTCACTGTCGTCTTCGTCGTCACGCAGCTTTTAAGCTCACTAAGCCGCCCGAAAATTGTCTGCAGTCGCAGCATGTCTCGCTTGTTGGACTAAGCCGCAGCGCAAGCGTTTGGTGTTGGACATGTGCCGTTATCAGCGCGCTGGAAGGAAATTTGCTTGGAAATGAACAAGAAAACAACAAAATTGCGACGCTGCTGGTTCTGTTGCTGTTGCTGCGGAAAAGCAAAAAAGCTGCGCAGTTAGCGTTTTTGATAATGTAACAAGAACTCAAGGGGCAGCCAAATGTACGTACACAAGCAGACATACATACATACATACACATATGTATGTATGTTTGTATGCATTTATGTATATACATATGTACATATTATGTGTGTATTTATGTCTGTGTGGGTGGCTTATTATACTGCGCTGCTTATTTCCGTAATGAATTTGATTAGGAAACTCGACTCGAGTCGTTATCGGTTATGCAAAATTTAGCTGAGCGAATTTGAATGCTTACTCGCGCCCTCTTTGTCCCTCTCCTTTGCTTTCGCCTTGTTATCAGCTATGCACAACATTTTATACGGCGAATTCTTGTGAGATTTCATTAATAAACCTCACTCCCTCTCTCTCTCTCTCTCTCTCTCTCTCTCTCTCTCCCTCTCTCTCTCTCTCTCTCTCTCTCAGCCTCTCCCACTCTCGCTGTTGCTATCTCTCTCTCTCTCTCTGCTGATTTTTAATAAATTTCCCATGCATCCTAATTGCAAGTTCTTGACTGCTTTCTTCTTTCCCATATACTTTTTTTTTTTGGTTACTTTGCCACCCTGTTGCAAACCCCTCGTATCTGATGCTACTGCGCATGTTTTAAGCAGCAACATTTTCATGCATGCGTGTATGTGTGTGTGTTATACCTTTGTCTCATTTTCCGATGCTACCTGAAGTTATTTTCGATATAAATATTGCGTCTTATCCCGCGCTGCCTGCAGCGGAATGCGAAGCAGAAACGCAATCGCATTTGGTTTATGCGTCACACGCAATATATCCGGGGGGAGGGTAGGCAAAAGTATCTATGCGTATCTTAAACACACACAAAACCAGTTTGCAAACGAAGTTACATACATATGGGGGGTTCTTTCCTTCCTTATTTCTTTCATTCTGTCTTTTGTTACTTGATGTATTTTCATGACCATTTCCATTCCAAATCAGTTGAGCTATTCAGGTTTATGAAGTCATTGCATTSTATGCATTTGATTTGATTTGATTTATAGCAGATGCCAATTGTCACTTATCCTCGTATGCTTAGGTTACATAAATTGTTATACGGCAGCATAAATCGTAAATGATATTCTATCTTCCGATTTGAGCCTCGATTTTTTTATTTTCATTTTAAACAGCTTATTCAATCAGCTCTTCATTAACTTTTCCATTACTGTGGGCTTCCCTATGGCATTGTTTTTAATTTTTGATCAATCAACGAAATTGATATTCCAAACATCCATTTAAGCACTTAATTAGTATCTTTAGCAGCTTTGACTTGGCCTAAACTTGATTTTTCATTCGTTTGCACAATGTTTCACAATGTTCAACAATTTTCCACAATTTCCTCTTAATTGGTAACCGAATACAGTGTCTGCTAAGAAGATGCGAACGCATTGCTGCAATAATTAATGAGCACCGCTTGAATTTCAACTCGAGAGATTTTCAAAATAGAAAAAAATGAGCTCATTAGAGTTTTTATTCAGAAAGAAAGGTACTTTTTGTATGTACTTTAATGAGCGCGTTAGGTAGGGTGTTCGTCAGGTAAAGAGTTTTACCAGCTCAATTGAAACAGGGAAGAAGTATAATAAAGAAATGCCCAAAGAACTAACAAAAGTGAATTTGCAGGGAATTTTATTGTTTTCGCAAGGAATTCTTTTTGCTTGCGGGGAAATTTTTAGTTGAAAAGTGAGTCGCTGGGAAATTCCCCAGCTGAAGTTCCGTCTTGCTAATGCACACATGCATCCATATGTATGTATGTACGTAAATATTTACATGCATGCAAACACTTAAGCATATATGTATGCACAAACACACGCACATACATATGTATATGTGTACGTATGTATGCATGTAAGATAATGAAATCATTTGAACGCGCTTTGCCTGAGCGTCGCGTCATAGGAACCAAGCCCACAAGCGAACACACGAAAAAGAAGACGACAACAAAAAAAAAAGATACAACAAAGTTGGGTGAAGCAACTGCAAAGTCTTTTGTAGCCCAATCAACAATAACAACAGCAACGACCAAAAAAAAGCAGGCCAAGTAAACCAAAAAACTAAAAAATAAGAAAACGAAGAGCAAGAAAAAACATTTACAAAAGAAGTTCGATGAACCTGCGTAGTGCTTGGCTACTTTACAAGCAGCAACCGGCTACGATGCCTCTACCCCGCCCCTTACACATGCTTCCCTCTCCCACTCCAATGGCCATTCCCTTTGCCCAACTCCAGTTCCGAACGTCTTTAAGTTGATTTTGTTTGAGTTGCGGCGAAGGGCGAAGGGCGCAGAGCGAAGAGCGGAGGGCGACGAGAGAGCGCTTACCGCTGCACAGCTGCAACAGGCTAAAGGCGAACGCAACGGCATTGCAATAGAACAAAAGGGCGTGCTGCTGGGCAGGGGGCGGGGCGCACAGTAGTCAGTGCTGAAAGGTGGTACCCAAAAAAAAAAAGAAAAAAAAAGGAGAAAGAATAGTGAGAGAAAGAAAGAGAGCAAATGCGAGCGAACAGTTCACTAGTTCAATTCGCCGCCACGCATAAGCGATCGCCGATGAGGAACAGCAGCAACAACAAAAACAACAACAGCAACTGTTCAACTGTTGCCAGCGTTACCAGAGTTTTTTTTTCTGCCTGCCAGACTCCGTTTTCTTTTTCAAATGTTTTTTTCGAATATTTAAACAGCTTTTTATCAACGATACATATTTTTTTATTTATATGCGCGTGAGAGTGTGTGTGTTTGTGTTTGCTTGCATTTATGCATACATATATTTGTATGTACATATGTAGTTATTTACATAACAACAACATTAATGCAAAGTGGCGTGTGTATGTGTGCATATGTATGTATGCTATGCACGTGTGTATTATGTATACATACATAACACATGTTTGAATATTATGTAAACATACTTACATTCGTGTAGTAGCAGTGGCGTAGCTCAACAAATTTTTGCAGGGATACTTATGAAATTCAGCATATGAATTAAGTATGCAGAATATTTTCTTTATTTGAGATAAACAAATTGATGAGATAGAAAAAAAAACCTGAAATATAATTTTAATTATATGTAATACTACAAAATAATGTATCAAAATATTAAAATCATTTATCATCATTTCATTGATCAATTGACATAGATTAAATATAAACAGAAAGGCTGAATTGAATACTATGGTTTCACTCTTAATAGTTACTTGAAAAATAATCCCTTTTTGCTGCTGCGCCACTGGTATGCATACATACATAAGTACGTTGAAGCGATGTCGACGACGACGACAGCGACGACGATGACGACGACGACTACGAAACGCGAACAAGCAACGAAACGACGAAACGATGAAACAAACGATGGCATGACTGTACTATGTATGTATGTAACTCCATACATAGCAGCGTGTATACCAAACAGCGACAACAACAGCAAGCACACAAACACACACAGGCATAGAGTGAGTGCTGCATTAGTGTGTATATGTGTGTGTTTGGCATGCAGGTATAGCGGAGGGTATGTACGCGCTTCGCGCCTGTTGCAAAATTCAGTGCCGCTGTTTCGTTCGTGACGAAAGGATGTACGCCCGGTTGTAGGCTGTACATACATACCATCGAACGCATATACATATATATACGCATAGGCATGCACAGCTTCGACATGCACACACACATGTATGCGGATAATACGCCAAAGAGCAATGAGTATGAGGAGCTGTCGCAACTGTTAAAGTCTTGGAACGTCAGCGAGCTGTTGCCATATTTGCAAGGTAAACAAACACAAAAGACAAATGAAAAGAAATTAGCGAATGTTCGACTCTTATACTTATACTCTCTTATACGAAAAAACAAATTTAGAAGAGGCAATCAATACGCAAGAGCTGCAGATGCTGAAGCGTCATCATATGAACGAGCTGCTGCGCAACTTTCGTTACGGCACGCGAATTCGTTTTGAACATCATTTGGAGCGTTGGCGTCGCTGGCTCAATGTACCGTTGCAGGACGAGCAGAATTGCGGTGCTGGCAGCAGCACCAGCGCCGCTGGCAGCGGCAGCGTTCATTGCAGCGGCTGCAACTGCTCGACGAACTTAGCGAAGAGTCATTCCAAGAGCAATTTGGGCGATGAGAGAGCAAAGCAATTGCCCTCCGAGCCGTTCGTTTCGCTCAATGAGATGACGGATGGGGGGACGTTTAATGTGCCGTTACCCCTGGGCGATCACAGTGAACTAGCTCACACGGAACTGGTGACAGCGGATCTGATCAAGCCGGAAATAATGACCGATGCGGATGGCAGCGAGGAGAGCGGTGTAACGGTGCTCTCCATTTTGCAAGCGTCGCCCGTCAAGGCTCAATCGCTGCTCGAAAGAATCGGACAAAATGAACAGCTGGATGCGGTGCAGCGTTTGCTCTTGATCCAGCTCATTTGCAGCTACTACGAGGATAATCGATTGCATTTGACCTTGCAACGAAGTCATCTACTTGAGCGTGAGATCCTCCAGCTCTATCCCAAGGAGCAGTTGTGCTTTTATCGCACTGAGCGCAGAGGAAAGATCTATGTGAGGTTTACGAATATGAAGCGGAACAAACGTTTCGGCACTCTGCGGGAGCAGAAGCGACGGCGGGAGGAGTCGATGGCACCGCCCGTTTCGTATGCCCCCAAGGAGGTGACCTTCGGCGGTGATCCCATGTCCAGCCCCGAGAGATCGGATTGATTAATGGCTATAAGCTAAGCTTACTCATAAGTCAATTAGTTCTTAACTATTTTAACTTAACTTAAAGTTTCCTATGAGCACAATAAGTTCTTTTAATCAACTAACTTGAATTGTATAAATACTTTCCTAATATAGCGAGTTTACAAATGTTTCGTGCTATCTACATTTATATTACTATTTGTCGATTATTTTAATGATTAATTATCGATCGCACTACACATTTATTCCATATATTATTTAAGCTCATCCAGTTTCTTTTTGGGAACCTTATTTTTCGTTTTAATGCATGTTTAACTCTAGGAATAACAAAGTTGTAAGTGTCTGTAGCCTATTTATATATAAAACTCCATATATTCGATATATATCTAATAAAGATATACATTCATCGTACATTCTGCCTAAAAAATATATATATTGTGGTTTCTCTTAGAAGTCTTGTCTATCGAATGAAAAGTGTGCCAATGCTGTTATACGGCCTTTATTCAACTCTTATACTATGCTGCAGTCTACGCTATTCTTATACTACATTAAGCTCAATTCTTATACCACACTCTTTCGCTGCCAATTTAAACTCTTATACTATATTATTAATATGCCTCACTCAACCCTTATACTGCATATTGTACACCATACACACACCATACTGCATTCTTATGCCATATTCAGCTGTTGTACTACATTTGTAGAACTTTTACTATATTGTTCAAGTATCAGCTCTTATACATAGATACACTTCCATTTGTTAGGGTATTTTCTTGCAGCACTCCAAGTATCGCTTAGTATTGCTCACCAACAGATACTTTGTAGTGTATTTGTTATTCGGTACTGTCTGCAGGGATTTACAACACGTACACATATAAATCAGAGATACGACTGACAGTTGGACACAATTTTGCGGTGAGCTGAGCGTCACGTACTGTGGCGGAGAGCGAGAAAGAGAGAGAGAGAGATGAGATGAGAGAGGGATAGCTAAATCGCCTTAACGAACGAGTGTTTTGGCTTGCCAAACATTTCAAGGTGGGAAGGGCTTAAGTCACCAAAGTATCTTATCTATAAGGCGCTCTTGTAGTTGTGTATCACATGCATACTTATGGCCTTTGTAGCTTGCAGATACTTTTGTATCCATGAGCTCTTTAAGCTAGAATATATAGGCTCTGATATATTATCAATACTTTCTCATCTATTTCTCCTGTATATTGTAGATGCATCTATGATTCTCATACTATTCTAGGGATACTCTTTCTGTTATAGACTCTACATCTTAGAGATACTTTTGTATCTGTTGTTGCATACATTTTTTCGATCCAATGCTCACATTTGTGTTTATGACTGACTTTGTTCATTGTGTATCTTGCAGATACTCTTTGTACTTTTAGACCGCCCTTTTCATTGCATCATCGCCTATAAAATGGGCAATTGGCCAAGTTCTAATATGTACATCGATCGATTAGATTACAAAGCGCGAACTGTAAATATAGCTAAGTAGAGAGGAAAACCTAATTGAGAAGGAAAAGAAACAAAATATTTGAAAATTTGTGAGAGGAGGTTAAGGTGGGGTTCGGCTTCGAGTGCGGAGTGTCGTGTGGTAGCTCTTTAGCTAATTAATTACTCGCTTCAATTTTATTGTTCTTTTTTTCGAACTCTTTTGCACTCGAGTTGTTTTTTGCTAATTTTTTTTATCGCTGAGCAAACAAAACTATCAGCCAGATACGCATTGTAGGTGAGTGTGTTTGTGTGAGCTTGTGTGTATGTACATACATACATACATATGTCTGCCCTGTATGACTGATAAAAAGTACATCGAAATAGGGCGGGCTATTGCCTATGCATTCCACTGCACAAAAGGGGCGTATGTATGTATGTATGTATGTAAGTGTATGGGTATGCACACACATATGTATGCAACTATACACATATACACACATACAAACATATGCATACTCTTTTTTTAAGCCATCTTCGCGTTTTGCTTTGTATGTATGTATAGCTGCTGAATGTGTGGCAACGCCAGCAATAAATAGGTCGTCGGCTACAGAAAACCCAAGAGCAAAAAAAAAAACTATTTGTCGCGGCGACAAAGCGACAAAGCTGCGCCTATATACACAGCCAGCCAATGTGCGCAAACAAGCGCGCAATCTAGCGAGAGCGAGCTTTGCAGCTATAAAAAAGCTTTTCTCTACGGAGCCATGTGCATGCATACAAACATACGCATGTACATATGTATAAACATACATACATATATATGTATATTCTCTCTTTCTGTGTTTGTGATAGCATAATTTTGATCGTTAAATGAAAACAAATTGCGAGCCATTAACATGTCAATAGCACAGAACATTGATCAATGCACTCACACATACACGTACACTGCTGTTCAAGCACAATCCTTCACAGCTGTTATATATGTACGTAAGTATTTTGGAAGGGGCGAGTGGGGGGTGGGCGAGTGGCCAAGCAGGCAGGCTGACTGGCTGGCTGGCTGCCATATCTATAACTCTCTCGCTCTCAATCTCTCACTTTTGCTCTATGCGTAGCTATGCTAGATGTATGTGCATATGTATGTATGTATGTCTGCATGCATGTATGTGTGTGTGTGTGTGTGTGTGTTGTTTGTACATTTACTGTGCGCTGCTTTTGTCGAATAGGGAAAGTAGGTCAATTACACGTGTGTGTGTGTGTTACTTGTATACCACTCTATGTATGGGTGTTTGTGTGTGTTTTTACATTTATCTATGCGCACATAACCTCACTTTATGCTTGCTTCATTATTTTTTGTGTGCGTAGAGAGGTAAAAAACAAAAAACTTTACTCTGCTGCTCATTTTTCTTTTTTTGGAAACTCTTTTATGCACAAATATGTTTCTGGGTCGACCGGATAATCGTTTGTTTATGCGCTCTCAAATAAAACAAACATAGAAAAGAAACAAATACACACACACGCACATACGCACATGCACGCACAAACACTTGCATTGTCTGAAGTGTTTGATAAATGGGCCACTATTTGCCTTTGGTTAAAAAAAAAAAAAAAACAAACAGAAAAATAAACGGTTTGTTTTGGGAAAAAAAAAAAACATACAATTGAAATATATTTCAAATTCTAGTTGGATTTTTAATTTGGAAAATTTGTCTTCATAATTTGTGTGATAATCTTATCAGGATTTTTTAAAAGTCGTAAATCTAATTGGATTGCCTTACAAACACTTCTGTATAACAATATATATGTAAATGTAAATCTTTTTTCAGTTTCGTAATACAGTTTTATTATCTAATTAGAATTGTGTTATTCACTTTTAATAGGAATTTTTGTTGGATACACTTAAGAGAAAATCTTGATATATATAAATACAAAAAAAAATACATAGAAATCGAGAGATTTTGCAGCATTGAATTTTTTTTGGGAAGTGTTCTACTAGATTAAGTTAAAGTCAAACTAGCTTTAGGCTATTTTTAAATTTTGCGGATTCTAGCTCTAAGTATATTTAGGCTTATGCACTTAAATATGACTTTAGGGGAGAGGTTTTATAGGAATAAATGTACCTAGATTTAAATGTGTCCCTCGGGAAATTTCAGGCAGCTCAACCTAAGTCTAAAAAGCTACGCAGCTTTGCGCCTCTTTTATGTTGCAATAAATCCTATTAGAATCTATACTAGTTGCCAATTCGCAAATACTCCAATACACATGACAATAATCTTATTGGCTTCCTGTATAGAGAAATTATTTATAGGAAATAACATAAAAGTCATTCGAATTTTAGAATGTTTATTGAACTTTGAATAATTCGCGTAATATTATAATAATATATTTGACTTTCTAGTAGACTTCGTCAGATTTCTCTAATTGAAGCCAAGGTTAAATATTTGATATATATATACGTGGAATCTATTTTAGTTTTCACCTAAATTTATGATTCAGTTATCTATTAACTAAGTCAACATTTGTTGGCCGTTTCTTATAAGCATTACTCTTGGCTGCCATTTGGATAACTGTTTGTTTGCGTATTCTTATTAGGTCGTTAGTTACATTAATATCCCATTTCGCAGATATTTGTTGATGACATAATGAGCATATTAATAGCAAGTGGGCACATTCTAATAAGAACATGCAGGCATAACCAAGCCCCAAAAAACAAGGAGAGCCACACCTCCAATGTGAATAAAATACATATATACGTGTATATATCCCAAGGCTTTTGCAAAAAGCTTTAGAGCTGTGGAAAGGACGTTGAAAGGACGAAACCATTGGAATGTGACAAAAAAATGGAGGAGGGAAAAAACCGGAACGAATTTTCAGCTGCAAAATAGGAGCCGAAGCGATAAGAAAATTCAACTATGTAGAAATATGTATCCAAGAATTGGGTCAATCGATAAAGTGGCAGCAGAAGTAGAAGCAGCAGCCGCAGCGGCGACGTCGACGTCGACGGCGCAGCACATGCGCGCAGCGAAGAGGGAGCGAGCATTCCAAATAGGGGGTGGCAAAGCTTGCGCTCAAAGCTCTCTTTGCAGAACTCAAGCAGTAATCCAATTGGACAGTAATAACTAACTGTATATACGAATACATGTGCAAGCAATTGTATATAAGACTATATATACCAGATTTGACCCAGCTCTTATATATATGTATAAGTATATTTATGATTACATCATGTGTATAAGTATCTGTGTATGTGCATGCGTGTGTGTGTGTGTGACTTTTAATATTTTATAGGACAGCTGGCACTGTGATTCCAATTGCGTTGGCTGCTGCTGCTGTTGCTTTCCAATTTGAAGGGATCATAAAAGAAAATCTAATTGGATGGTACGTATAAAATATCAGGGGAGGGATGGTAGCCTCTTAACATAACCAATACACATTGCATAGAATGTAATACAAGGAATTTATAGATGAGAAACGAAAGAGTTGATGCTTCAAATTGATTTGCATTATAATTAAATATTTGAAATAAAGAAACATTTTTATTCAATTAGGCAATCCGTTCAGGGCGCTAATTGGAATTCCAAAAAATACGAACTGCTTGCAGTTGTAAGCAGTGTAAAATATACTAATGCAGTGCATTCGCTGCAAGCAGTTTAACTTGTTAGCAGACTA